CGGGTATAGGGAGCTGGCAAACAGCAGTCCAGAGTCAGCAGCTAAAATGAAGCTTTACTCAGTTATTATCTGCTTTTTCTGTACATGATCTGAGATCCCAAATGCAGATAACATAGCACGATATTTGTTAGTACATAAAATAAAAGCATATAGAAAGGAAACAGAAGCAAAGAGAAGACAACAACTGCCATTTGGATATGCAAGCAATCCCCATGCTCATCAACTCCTGCTTATCAGTTTCAGGAAGGATAAACCCCAATACCAGGCACCTACTTGTCTCAAGTGGATGGGATAATTAGTGTAAAATGTCAGGGTCAAGGACCTTCCAAAAGGAACACACACTTGATTATCACACCACAGCGAAACTCCCTGGCCACTGGGTCAGGCCACTACAAAAATAACAGCATCCACCAGAAGAACTTGTAAAAACAAGCATAAAGTCACCATTAAGTTACTGTTCAAGAAATCTTTTTAAAAGGAAGAGATGAAACAAGGAGACTTATAAAGAAGTACATTTATTTTTCTTTACAGCAAATACCATAAATAGAGCTGAAACAATTTTCACTGTGTGCAAAATACAGAATTTCCATGTGAAAATTTAAATACAGCATTAAAAACTATTTAATAAAAATATTCCATTAAGATTATAAAGTAAAGCGAAGACAGAAGACTTAGGAAGAGAAGGACAGAATCCTCACTGGCCAGGAAGAGCTAGGAAGACTCTGTAACAGAGGGCAAAAAAAAAAAGAAAAAAAAGCATAGCAATGGAACGTGGTTTGAAATGGCAGACCTTTATGTCATGACCTTCATCTCAAAGCATGCTGAACTTAGCAACAGAACACCATAGTCCTGCAATTCATAGGAAGGTGTCTCCTAACCATTTTCCAGATGGTTAGAATATAGAGAGGTTTTGTATGGGCACAGCAAAGGAACTTTGAAAGCCATCAAGACAATTTAGCATGCCCACACAAATCAATACTATTGTTTAGTCATGCAAACATACAGGTCAGCAAGATAAGGACCCTTCAGTTCTTTTTCATTCCTGATCGTGTGTGTGAAATGGGACAAGCAGCACAGCATGTCTGCCCCCCACTCTGCAAGCTGCTGCTTAGATCTATTTCCAGTCCCCATTCCCATTGACGGCCATCCTCAGCAAGTAAAGCTGTGCCATAACCATATCAACCTAAGCTCAGGGCACTTGCTGGTCAGGCTGAGCCCTCGTTTCTTCTTTGGATTCACTTCCCCTTTTAGATTATCGTGTGATTATATAGACTGGAACTTACATGAAAAAATACATACAAAGTAATTTGTCTAATTTGTCATGGAGAGTATTGGCAACTTCTCATGCAGCAAGACAAATCCATTAATCAGAGGGCAAATAATGGGGCCTCGTGAGAGCTGGTATTAGTTAACAAAACAACCCAAACCAAAACACTCTGGTTATAAAAATTTGGCATTTAGACATTAAGGACTGAAAAACAGCACACACCTATTTCTGTTAGGCCTGCCTAGTATGTTACTTGGGGTGGAAGATTGGAATTTGTGTAGCTCTGGCCATTTTTTCCAACAGAATCCATTTGTAAAATAATTTTCCTCTGTGAAAGCAAAGAAGCACTTGAAAAGAGTGCTCAAATGTTGGTTGCTCACTGAATATTTGATCTCAGTGAAAACTTGCTCATTGAATATGCGAGTGCAATAGAAATAGGTGCTCATCCAGGAGAATCACCTGGCTTTTATTGTCACCTTATTATAAAATTACCTTGAAAGAAATAAGGAGTAGTTCTTTCAAGAATCAATTTATTTATACACCTAACTTACCTGGAAGACACAAGGAAAGTAAGGGTGCATGCACAGACACAGAAGGAAAAACATTCTCTACAGAGAGAGCAGACATAACCTTTTACAGAACTATGAACTCAGCAACAGGTTAAATGATCATGCCAAAGCTCACATCCATTAATATACCAGACACAGTTTGCTCCAAAATGGTATTAAAAAATAAAACAAAACACAAAATCAATGCAGTGAAATGCTGTCAAACAACAGTGTTAGTCACACAGTTTTGGAACTGGCAAGCAGAAAAATCACCTGACAGCATAAAGGCTTCAGCCAGTGAGCGGGTGCAACACCGGAATGATGAATTGGACTAAAAGTAATGAGGGAGATTGACAAAGAGAGCACAGAAAAAAAAAAAAACAAAAACACAGAACTTAGCTTGGTTATATAGAAGAGCATCAGTACGTTCACAAAGAAGAATTGGCCAAAATGAAACTGCCTTTCTTTCATTAAATCATAAACAAGGACAAATAAGTATTAATCTTATTATCAGAGTATTAAGATAAAGAGTTTAAAAAAAGCCAAACAACTAGCAATTTGATTATCAGATTGATACCAATAAACAACCTTCCCAACAACCTCCAGAACCCCAGTGGAATAGGTGGTATAATTAGGATCCTCCAGGAAAATGGTTTTTAATTTGTTTTTTTCACCGGCGGTAACGCTGAAGTCTTTTGTGAGAATTTAGGGATTTTTCTCCCTATTATATAAACCTATAGAGCATCATTACCATCTTTTTGTAAAAAGAAAATGCTTTCTCCTAGTAAGATTCATTTCATTCGAACTCATGGGTTAACACAGATTTCCAAGTTTCTTACTGTGTCAGCATTTTCTGTAAGTTTACCATTACACTCTGCTGAAAAGCAGAACATTTTCTTGTAGTGAATAGCAAAAGAAAACATCAGGAAAAATGTATTCTGCAAGACCATGCTGTTGACAAACTGAAATTAAAATTGAGACTGACTCTAACTTCAGAACTTCACCATTTAGCAGTTTGCTGTGTTGTAGGGGTAACATGGTAAATTATACAGATTTTTTTTTCCATTTAGAGTGAAACAACAACTGGCATTAGTAAATAATTTTAAAAGTGCAGACTGTTCTAAAGTAGATTTAAATGCTATGAAAGAGATAATCACAGCTCACCATGTTGGTATAATGGCCAATGTGTCCAGTCAGTGTTCTAGCAAAGTTTTGCTAAATGCACATTTGAGCATTAATGGCAATTTATTTCAACCAAATGCTACCTTACACCTAAACAATTCTTTCAAGCTTTTTTTTTTCCCCCCAAGTTCTATGCATACTCTTCACAATTTCTCCCCAGTATATATAAGCACTATAAAATGGGAAAAGCTTTATCCCTGTAGTTGAGAAATTACACCAAAATATCTAGAGGAAAAACCCAGTTTGCCATTTATTTTAAACAGAACACATATTTCCTTTTAACATCTAAGACAGAAGACAACTCTAAATTGTCTTTGCCTACATTCACTTAAAATTTAAACAAAACAAAACAAAAAAAACCACCCAGTCTGTAAGAAGCAGTTATTTGGGACCACTAAAAAGTCATCCTCAAACTTTGGTACAAATTTAACATAAAATTATTTCCTATTACTTACGTCATGTTATGTTGGCTAGAAAAAAACGTTACAGGTACTTTTCATTTTAGGCTATGCATATTGCCATATTAATTTGCTTATCTATTTCTTGAGTAACGTCTTAATTAAATATTTAAGTACTTTAGAGGCAGGGAGCATGCTTACCTCACTGGCTACCTAGGCTGAGAAAGCAATCAGAATTGCTCTCACTGTCTCCTTGTTGTTTAATAGCCCTACTTAACCTGCTCCTGACAGCTTTTGGTGAAGGTAGACCTTGATGAGAAACACCAGAAAAGTTTATTTTACAGCTGCTCCAGATAACAGAATTTCACCTACTCGCTATCAGCTTACATATCGAAAAGAATGAAGTACCTGATTACAAAGCAATATCCTTAGAATAGATTTATAGTTTTTTTGTTGTTTGTTCTAAAGTTGTATTCTTAAAAAATTCCAAACATAATAGGACCCAGTGCCTCTGGAGGCAAAATGCTCGCGACTTCAGTGACATATGAATGCTCCACAACTCAATATTCATTGAAACAGCTGCCTAACAAAGCCTTGAATTGAGGAATAACTCACATCTAATAATACTCCTACTTCCTTTGATGTGTGTTTTCAATCAGGCGGTCACTCAGCTCAGATTTGCTCTTCAGACTTATTTCAAAATGTTAAATAAATTAGTATCACAGATTATACCCACTATCAGCAGAGGGTATGAAATGTAAAAGGCATGACTAGGAGTAATATGAATTTAACACATGATTTTTTTTTGAAATGTCATGCAAGTTATAAACCTCTTAACCCAGAGAGAAGATGAAAGCAAGAAAAAAAAAAAAGGGATGCGCCATATTCAGGTTTCAAAACCCAGTTCTTTGTCATAAATATTCCCCAAACATCTGAAAGAGCAAAAACTCTTTCTTTGTCCAACAACAACAACGAAGCAGAGGGGAGGAAGGCTTTTAAAATGTACCTGTCCCCAATGGTCTGATCCCAAATAGGACAAAACAGAAAAAAAATTTCAAAACATCCTTCATCCGTCTCCGTGTTTTGGAAATGTGTCTGGACATCACCCTTCATATTTCAACATACAGTACATTTTACACTGAAAATTTTGATTGCACCTAGTTTATATCAGAAGGAATATAATTGTTCATTTAAGTCTCACATTAAATTGCAAGTAAAAAACAAATAAAAAAAAACCAACAAAAAGCCTCAGGAAAATAGTGAGGCTGCTCATTTTGAAAATCTGAAAGGCACAATTGAGCAAGACGCATAGAAAAATTTAAACCCTGTAGAATTTTTTTGCCCATTCAAGCACATTTTCAAGGGATAGCTCTGCTTCCCGGTACATATGAATAAGTACCTCTAGAAGAGCACAGAGAAATGGCACACCAAGGCTCAAGAGTTCATACAAGTAGGTATAGTTATATGCATTGTCCCTGAAATGAACATTGGTAGCGTGCAGAAAACCATGCATCCAGTTAGAGAGGCGTCTGGGAATGTCAAGCAGATCCCTTGTCACCCGAATGGGCCAGCTTAGAGTGCGCCTAAAGAAGGAAGTCAGGATACCTGGGGACCTGTCCTCTGGACTGCTAGCAGTTGTTAAAGTGCTGTCTGTGGTGCTCTCTGTAGCTCTGAGTTCTTCTTTCTTCCAGGCTTCTGTTGCCTCCTTATAAAAAGCATTAACATTTATTAAATGCAACTTGTAAGATAAGTATAAAGTCCAGTTTCTGTTAGTTTTTAAGTTTTTAGATATATATTCACTACCAACTGTTCTTAAGTTCAACTTCATAGGTGAAGAGCTCTTTTCCACTGCAAACCAGACTACACATACACATACTCTGCTCTAGATGAAGCTGCTTCAGTAATTTCTGCATTAATGATATAACCAATACGTACCTTGCACTGGACCTGTAATGTTGCTCTTCTCTTTCGGTGTTTATTACTGATTTTGCAGTGTCTAAAATGAGGTTTACAGTAAAATTTACCTAGAAAAGAAAAAGTAAATTATATGACCTTTTATCTTTACACCTACTGATGAGAACTGTACTATTTTGTGTACAAAAAAAAAAAAAAAAAAAAAAATCAAGGTGATTAATGGTTCGGCAGCAAAAGAAATGGGAAATCATCTGCTGGTTCTGCATTGCCCACAGCTTTACAGAATTACAAAATCATTTTAGTTAGAAGGGACCCTTAAAGGCAATCTAGTCCAACTCCCCTACAATAGAAAGGGGCATCTACAGCTTGACCAGATTGCTCAGAGCCCCGTGCATCCTAACCTTGGATGTTTCCCAGTATGGGACATTCATTACCTCTTTGGACAACCTGTTCCAGTGCCTTATCATCCTTATCATAAAAAGCTTCTTCCTTACATTCACTCTAAATCTCCTTCCACTTAATTTAAAGTTTAAAATTTATTTCCCCTTGTCCTGTCACAACAGACCCTGATGAAGAGTCAGTCCCCTTCTTTCTTACAGCCCCCCTTTAGATACTGAAAGCCTGTCAAGGTCTCCCCGGAGCCTTCTCTTCTCCACGCTAAACAGCCCCAGTTCTCCTACAAGGACAGGCTGAGAGGCATTCCACCCTTGGATCATTTTTGTGGCCCTCCTCTGGATATGCTCTTACAGGTCCATGCTTTTCCTGTAATGAGGACTCCACATCTGGATGCAGTACTCCAAGTGAGGCCTCACCAGTGCAAAGCAGAGGGGCAGGATCACCTCCCTCACCCTGCTGGCTATGTTTCTTTTGATGCAGCACAGGATACAGCTGGCTTTTTGGGCTGCAAGGGTACATTGCTGGCTCATACCCAGCTTCTGATCCACCAGTAACTCCAAGGTCCTTTATGCTGGGGCTGTGTTCTATCCTTACATCCTCCAGCTTGTACTGATAGTAGGGAGTTGCCTTGCAGCGGGGTGCTTTGATTGGGTTTCTTTTACAGCATACAGATTTGCACATTCATTAAATAAGGTAAGGCCTTAAATTAATCTAACATGCAGGTTTAAGATTAATAAATAGCAGAAAAAAACAAGATTCTACAAATAACAAGTGACAAAAAAATGCAATATATCAAGCAGCAGAAAGTCAAATATCAGCTAAAAATCTTTGCAGAGGACTCTCTAGACTGCAGAAAATCTATCTTTGGCCTTGAGACTTTAATTCTTATGTAAGAGGAGATCAGGTCAGTACTCAGATATACTCAAATCATTTGGAAATAGCAAGAGAATTTTTATATAGTTTACTAACTTCCATCTGAACAGAAAAAAAACAAGCAAAGAAAACAACATATAATCCCCTTGCCCCAAGCCTCAGGCTGTAGGTGGCATCAATAGCCCAAGATCTGAACATCCCATTCTACTACTGGCTGCAATAAAGGGCATGCTGCTTGGCCAGTACTACTGCTTTCACCTCATGAGCTAATACATCTTGAAAGAATACCCCCCACATATAAATTTACCGCTGCTCTGACTTGTCTTTGTAGATCATTTTATTTAAAGGCTGGTTGTCAGTGTCAGATAAGAATAATTCTGTACTGTCGGCAGAGAAAAAAGGCACCTTTCCATTCCCACCCCATTTCTGACCTGTGATTGGACAAACTGTAGTTTTGTCACTTGCTTTATTTTCCAGTGATGATTTCTTCATTTAAAGATATGTCTGAATTGGCTTCTTTTGAAAGAAGTGAGAGGACTCAAAGATCAACATGGACACAAAGAACATCCTCGGCAGACCTCCTCCTGACTGAGCTACTCTACAAGGTCTTTTTCTCTGGTTCTATTAAAAGCATCAATATTCAGACATATAAATATTCTTAAATAGCTTCTGTGTTACCTTCTTCAACATCAAAGGCATAAATTCCTAATCGGAGAGTTGTAGAACATATTTCACACTTGAAGCACTCTCTGTGAAAGAAGTGGCCTTCTGCACTCAGCCGCTCCATAACATATACCCGTTTTTTGCAGAAATAACAAATGTCACTCCCCCCAATAGACTGAGGAAACTCTTTTCGCAGAGATCCCTGTTAAAAGATAAAAATAGAAACACATATGAAGCCTTTACAGGACACCTAGATATAAATTCTCATTGAAGCAAGCAGTTGCTTTAACTGCTTGAAGTTTTATACAGCCCTTTCTCCACACACAATTAAAAAAATGCATCAGTCAGCTTTTTTTATTACTGATAGGCTGCAAGCCTGTAGGTTTAAAAAGCAACTCAAATCAGACATCATGAAAATCGAAAGGATTGAGCTGCAGCTCGACTCACACCCAGCTTCCCCCCCTTCAGCTCATGGGTACTTCACGTTTGCTCAAGTACAAGGGCAGCATCAGGCCCATGCACCCAATGCCCTGTGCTGTGCGGACTCAGGCACTTGCAATCATAGCTGCAGATAGCAGTGTTTCTCAGATGAGGGTGAAGGCAGACCTTGCCAGCTTTGAACAACAGGCACACATTTGGAGCTACGCAAACCCTGAAGACTAAGTTCATCTCAGTAGTACTGAGGTCATACTCAGCTTGTAGCAGCTCCTACTGCTAAGGAAAATTAGACTTGTGCTTTAAGTTGAAGGAAGAAAAGCCAACAGTTGGACGTGGTGGTTCAAACACCAGTATCAACATCACCCACAAATGCTCTTTCCCTCTCAGCCGCATTTCTGCCTGCGTAGACAGCCCAAGCTGGGGCTTGGTTTGTTTAAAAATCAGTTTCATTCCTACCATGGACATTCAGCATTCTTTAAATTCATTGGATTTTAAAATAAGACTCATGTTAACAACACAGATATTTTGGAACTTTTTGTTGAATTTGGCCAGTTAACTACATTTTTTTCCTAATTGTCACAAACTCTATGTTCTGTATCTACATACAAAGGCACAGAATAATAAATTATAAATAGAACAACAGACATCCCTTTACTTATTAGAGGCAGGCATGAAGAGGTTTCTTTGCTTCACTGTGTTGCTCTTAGTTACAGGTCAGCACACGTGAGCATCCATTTGTGCTCTTCTACAGCTGCTATCATCTCCCCCTCCTCTTCTCACGATGTGAGGGTATCATGCTTGAGATAGAGGAGCTGCAGGCCTGGCAGGGCCCACTCAGGTTCAGACACCAGCATGCAGTCCACACAACTGATCTTTAACTTGCCAGCAGAAGAAGGCCTCAGAACAATTTTTCAGTATTAAGTTTAAGTCGCAATTGTTACAGACATGAATCACACTCTTGAGCTTAACAGCTGAGAATCGTAAATAAAATCTGCCGTTAGTAATCTGTTGTGCTGTGCTGGGTCGTTTTGGACTATGAACCACATGAAACCTTCCAGATGAATGACCATGCAAATAGAAAAGAATAGAAATACATTTTTAAAAATAGAGTGTTAACGGAACAGGTCAGATAGTCACAGTGAAGCAGAAGCAATTAGAGTTCAGCACTGGCTAATAAGTCAGCATCAACACCACAGCACCCCAGACCTAGCTTCCCGATACCTGACATCTCTGAGCACTGGAGACAGGATGTGGAGAACAGGGAGTGGGGAAAGAACCTGTAGTTCTGTCCAAAGACTGGTTCTGAATTCAAACAGGATCGTGTCAGAGTTTAAAAATAGCTTTCTTCAAAATGAAGCATGGTGATTCAGCATTTGCATGTTGAAAATAATTGCATAAACATGTACTGTACCAAAATTTTCTTTAGACGCCACCTTGATTAATAACCATTTTCTATTACTAATTGTACCAATAATTACATTTAATAAAAGCCTCCTGAAGTTTTATTTCATGCAGACAAGTAATAAAAGTACAAGTAGAAGACACTGAGCAACGCTTCCAGCATACCCACATTATTAGCGTATACTGCCAACGTGCACTCGATTCCTCAGTAAGCATTAGGCTAATATCTTTCATAACGCTTAAGGTGCACCACAAGTAAGGTGTTAAATCAGGAGGACACTCTGGAAAACACTGCTTTTAAGTAAAGTTGTTGTTTCTTTGCGAGTTTAGTCTTACCAGCTCAAGGGGGGGAATTTGCGACTTGGGTCTGTGATCATTCACATACAGATTGACAAGAACTTCAGCCATAGCTCCAATTGCACGTGAGACCTTTCCTACAGTCATCTAACCAGAAAAGGGGAAAAGATGAAGAATTGAAGGAAGAGCTTTAGTTGCTTGAGAATTTAATGAGAAAAAGATGAGAATGACTTGAAAACATGCAAATGAATGAAAGCGATGATAAAGACAGGCTCTGAGAAAAAGCAGAGACAAAGTACAGCAGAGCACAAGCGTGTTCATGCATGAACAGCACAGTCCAGCTGGTGGCCACAGGAGGCTCCCAGGCAGACCACACACTTCTCTCCCTGTGGATGATGGAGAAATAGCTGCTTGAGCAAATGCTGCTCCTGCAGCACAAGGCCTCCTGTTGGGTCAGCACAAGGCACAGGGCAGCTGAGCTGAACTAGGGAAGGATTGTTGTGATAAATTAAATACAAACAAATGAAAAAAAAAAGCAACACTGCCACTGTGACTTTTTTTTTTACAATTCAGAAAGGAAGGTGGTGACTAAACTTCACCACCTCACACTGACCTCAAAACTGGTATTTCAGGAAACATTCTACGAAAACCTCCTAGAAGTCTTGCACAAATTCCTCTCTGAGCATTGCCTGTGTTTATTTCTCACTCTCTCCAATGACTTTTAGATGTGGCAGATGGGTAGGTAGGTACTCTAGTTCTCTCTTCACGAGGAACAGACTGTGAAGACTTCATAGATTGACAGGAAGGTTTGCTACCCAAATTCACATTGCCTCTAAGTGATTTTGATTTTACCCATAACCTCTCTGGAAACCCAAAGGCTGCAAGAGCCATTCTGATTTGGCCAGGGATCTGATGCTCTTCTTCTGAAGCCAGGATATTTTTCTTCCTAGAAGATGCCTGATCTTGCACTTTATTTTCCACTCGCTTCTTCACTGAGCCCAGACTTTAACTCTCTCGTTCCTCAGTGAAATTATTTTCTACTGACATTATACCATATCTTGCTAACGGTGGGGTTTAAATAAGTAAATAATAAAAAAAAAAATAAAAAAATCAACAAGTTACTCTGAAGAGAAGGAAAACACAATGGTTTTAAATTTCTATCAGGCTTAAAAGCAACTCCACTGCATTCTGGGTGTCTTTTCAAAAATTATGATGAACAAAAATATTCCTGCTAATAAAAAAAAAAAAAAAAAAAAAAAAAACCAAGTGCAGGAACTTGAGAACATGCCCAGCTCCCTACAGTCTCCCTTATCTTTTGAGTGTTGTATCTTAATTTGGCTTAATATCCAGGCAGACATAAAATTATGTATGCAAAGACAACAAGGATCATTCAAAAGATCATTCTTTGCCATTTGTTTTTGTTTAGTATAAAAAATACAACAGCATTATTTAATATCTGCATGATTTTTTTTGAGTAATAGCAATTTTTGGGGTAAAAAAAAAAAAAACTTTCCAAGTCTGTTGAAACACAGTTTAACTTGAAATAACAAAGTGTTGGAGCAACCATTTAAACAATAATGCTATGCCTAAAGCGCAAGTACTTGAATTTCAGGAAGAGCATCCCTCAGCCTGAACTACACCTTGCAATTCATCAGGTGGGTTGATTTCTGTTCTCCACCCTTTGGAGCAATTTGTGCGACTATTAAGGGAGTCAAAACAAGGAAATTACATGTTTATACATACTTTAAAAAGCGTTATTAAAAGAAAACATTTGTGTAGTGAAGTTCATATCCCACGTCAAAACAAATGGGATTTCCATCTGATCTAGCAACCAAAAGACTGCTGGCCACTCTTGTCTCATAATCAACCACCACCAACACAAAATTGTGGCTGCTGACCAGGAAGGAGAGCAGGACACAAATAGATTTGAGGACTCCCTTTAGAGAGTCTGGTTAACAAGGACACATTACGGGGAAAAGATCACTATTGGTTCTCCTTACCCAATTAGGAAGGCGGGTAAGTAAGAGGAGATGAATTTGCAACAGCCTCAGTATTGCACCTTTCAAATGTTATTCAAACATGAAATAAAAACAGCAGGATGAGAATCCATAGGGGCAGCCCCGTGAGCACCTGCCATGAGAAGAAACCCACAGCAAAGGTAAGGGAGAGTAAGCGCAGTGCTGCTCTGTAATTCATCAGTGATAACAGTACAACCACCACCTGTGTCTTCTCTAAACCTCACTCAGGTTAGGAACAGGAACTTTGATGACAATGTCTCCCCTTCATAACACTCACTGCAGAAGAAAGGGTCTGACCTCAAATCTGCATACCAGAGGCACACTCCTTTAGATAATGTCAGCTCTTACACAGCTTAGCTTTCTTCAACAGCACACTAAGTTACCCCAGAAACTTGGATGCTAATGAACACAATAGGCTCTGTATTTCACTTATGCACTTACTACTCTTGAGAACAAATGATGCGCACGATGCTGCACACAATTTTGTAGTGCTGAGGCCACAGTCAATATAACAAAAGGCTATTGCTCAAAACTCAGGCATGTTATTCCTTCTAGAGCTTTAAATAGTTCGTTGTCCTGGAAAAGAATCTGAAGAGTTATCTTACATGGTGAATTCAGGAAACACTTCAAAATCCTCAAAGTGCAGTGACTTACTAGGAGTGCTGACCTCTCAGTGACAGGTTACCAAAGCTTTGTAGCAGGTTGATCAGGCTAGTTGTCAGTGTGAGAAGAGAAGGCTTCCTCCTGTATTTCCCTGTGCTATTATTTACAACACCAGAGCCAACCAATTATTAAACAAGCCTCTTTCATAAAATAAAGGAAATATTGTATGCTCTTGGAAGCAGAAAACGTTTCCCCTTTATTGTTACAAATCCTTAATGATTTTCTTGGACTTATTTACTCTGAGGTGATTTATTTATTTTTTATTGCATCTGCTACATATATTTTACCTCTGAGATAAACAGCATTTGAATAATAAGTTACTCTGTGTAGGAAACACCCAAGCCCTGTTTATAATACTGCTTATAATTAGAGATGTCACTGAAGG